CCAGAACCCTCACCAGCACCCAAGCATACCTCTGGCTCACCTCCCACGTGAGGCACGTGGAGATTCGTGTCTTGGCCGACCTCCCTGTCCCTACCTACACGGATTTGCTTCCCGGGGGTCTGTAGTCACACACAGCTCATGGGACCCTGCCTCATGAGGGACAGGTGAGCAGAACAGGGGTCCTGATGCCTTCTCATCTGGCCAAAGCCATCGGGTCCCAGAAGGGTACAGACTGGAAAATGTGGAGGCTGGGGAAGGAAGTTCCTCCCAAGAAAAAGCCTAGAGCTCCTAGCAGGCCCCAAGTGCCCCTGGTCCACTCAGCTGCCACATCCCTGAACATCCTTGCAGTGGCTGGGCCATCTCTGTCTTTTTCCAAGGCACTGCTAGCTAGCACCCCCCACCCAGCAGGCCAGGCCTGTGCTCTCAGATCCAGGAGCAGAATGCAGCCCCACACCTCTGCCCTGGCTGTCTACACTCCCCCAGCACACTTCAGAGCAATCGCTCCCTGTGCACCCCGGTCTCCATGCCTGCTCAAGAACCGATGCTGCCTCACCCTGAGCAGTAACTCAGCCAACTCTGAGGTCATTGCCAGCCCCAGCCTGTTAATGGGAGCAGGTGCTACCACCAAAAAAAAAAAAAAGGATTCGTTTATTGAGCAAACACACTCTATGCCACAAAGTCCTGCCATTACCCCCATTCTACTGATAAACAAACTGAGGCATGAAAACTCATAGATAGTAGGGCACCGATCTACTCCACGTAGTAGACCCGAAAAAAATTTGTCAAAGCCCTAACCCCACTCCCCCCTCCCCCAAACCTGTGAAAGTGGCATATCTAGAAGAAAGGGTCTTTGTACATGTAATTAAGATTCTCAAAAAAAAAAAAAAAAAAAAAAGACCCTCAAAGATAAAATCATGAGAGGCCTGGTGGCTCATCAGTTGGGCGTCTGCCTTCGGCTCAGGGCGTGATCCTGGAGTCCTGGGATCGGGTCCTGCATCCAGCTCCCTGCATGGAGCCTGCTTCTCCCTCTGCCTATTTCTCTGCCTCTCTCTCTCTGTCTCCCATGAATAAATAAATAAAATATTTTTTAAAAAAGATAAAATCATTTAGGGCTCACCCTAAATCCAATGACAGGTATCCTTATGGAAAAGACATAGAGACACAGCGGGATGGCCATGTGAAGATAGAGGCAGAGACTGGAGTTCTGTTGACAAAAGCCAAGCAACACCTAGACCCAGAGGAAGCTGTCTGAGGTAAGAAGAGATTCTCTTCCAGTGTTTCTGGAAGGAGTGTGACCCTACCAACACTTTCATTTCAGACTTCTGGCTATAAACTGTTAAGAGAATACATTCCTTGTGTTGTAAGCCATCACGTTTGTCACGGTAACCCTGACAAACGAACAAAACCAGGATCAGCTGACTCCAGAACCCACGTTCTCAGCCCCACATCAATGCTACTTGAGCATAAAGGGGGAAACAAAAAATCCCTTCAGACCCCTGAGACTATGTCATCTCTGACTGAGGATCTCAATCTGAGAAACGTGGACTTTCTCCTCCTTACAAATGCTTCAGTTATGAATTACCTCTAAAAGAGAATGTTATCTTTACAACTAGTAACAACAAGATTACCCACACAACAAAAACACAAAATGTGAACACTCTCCTGGAGTAAGGTGTCAAACACAGGACACACCAGGTGTGCAGTATAACAGAACTCTCTGTACTATGTCCCCAATAATTCTATAAATCAGAAACTGTCCAGAAATGAAAAGAAATTATTTACAAAAGAAAAAACAACTGTCCCTGGAACTGCTTTGAGGATTGGCCCCTGGGACCCCAGTTGGAGAAAGGCTGCCCATCTTTATTAATGTTTGCCGAATGAATGGCCATGCTTATCATCTGGGAGATCCTGCTGAGCCTAAGATAGAGCTTAAGTGCCTGGCCTGAGCTCTAATGCCCACCTGAGACACTCTTCCGCCCTCTCCTCATGTGGTCCCAGGAAACCCAGCTCTGCCCCAGCAAAAGGAGGTGTGACACGTGGGATGTAGGCGCAAGTCCTTAAGTTTGGGTTTTCCAATAGGGGTGCAGGGAGAACCCTGTGCGAACCAACTGCTCTACACACTTTCCTTCCCACCACCCCCTTCCCAAGGTGGCAAAATATCCGCACAGGCCAGGGCCAGGAAAGGCCTCCTCAGGGGCTCCCAGAGCATCAGTGCAAGAAACCCTGAGACAAAGCTGAATGAAACAGTATAGCAAAATGTGAACAAGCAAATCAGGAATCAGAGAGAACAGATAGGAAAGAGTAACAGAAAGAAAAAAGGATGAACCACAAAGACTCAGGGGCCTTGGCAAACACATTCGTGATTTTTCTTTTTTCCCCACCGAAATGTCAGCTTTGAAACTAGCCTCTGAAAACGTAACCAAGCCTCTCACATCCCCAAAAAGAAACACTGGGAGGGCCGTGGCGAGGGCGGAGGCTGCTACCTCTCACTCCGGAGCCGGACATCAAGAAGGAGCCCTACCCTTCCACGTTTCCACCAGGAGCACATCCAGCGGCTCGCACCACCCTGCCATGCCTGGGCCCTCTCCCCACGTCTAGAAGTTTCCCACACGGGGGTCCAGGACGCCAGGAACGCTCCCGGGGGTGGAAGCGGGTCCTCCAGGCCGCCCCGGGCCGGGCACCACTTTCCAACTGTCCTGGGCACTCCCGGGACTCCGGAGAGATGGCCACAGGCTGCCCACACCCCTCCCTCCTTCCCTCGGGCGGCCACACCCGCCCCCGGGGGCTCCCACCTCTCCCACACCCCGGGCCCCCTCCCCTCCCCTCCCAGCCCCCACACCCCCCGCTGGCTGCGAATTCACCTTCCCCGCTGGGCCCCCCACTTCCTGCCCACCCCCTCCCAATCTCAGGGCCCTCACTCCCCCATTTCCCGCTTCCCACCGTACTCCGGGCACCTCACCTCTGGCCGCCACGCACGCCCTCTTTTCTCTCGCCCCCTGACATCGTTCCTGCACCGCCCTCACTTGGGGACCCCCGCTCCCGGCTCCCTCGGCCCGGCGCCGCGGACCCCACAGCGGGCCCCCACGGCTCAGCGCCCCTCACCCTCGGGGCCCCGGGCCCCGGGCCCCGGGCCCCGGGCCCCGGCCGCGTCGCTCCCGCCCCGGGCCCCCCGCCCGGCCGGCCTCGTGGGCAGCCCCCGCGCTCGGCCCGGCCCCGGGGCCCCGCACTCACGGCTGTAGAGGGCGATGCCCGCCGCGTCCGGGCCGGCGCGCACCTCGAGGCGCAGCGCCTGCTGCTCCGCGTGCCGCTGGATCTCGCCGTTCGCGTCGCCGATGGTGAGGAGGCGGGCGCCGGGGAACACGGACACGGCCGCGCAGGGCCCCGCGCTGCCCGGGACCGCCGCCCCTGCGCCGCCCGCGCCCGGCCCCGCCGCCGCCGCCGCCGCTGCCATCTTAGATCCGGCTCCAGGCCCCGCCGCCGCCGCCGCCGCCGCCGCCGCCGCCGCCGCCGCCGCCGCGCCCGGGCCCAGGCCGCCGCCGCTGCCGCCGCCGCCGCTGCCGACGCGCAGGCCGAGGCCAAGGCCGAGCCGGGCAGCGCCGCCTGCCGGCCACGCTCCGCCTCGCCGCCACTGCCGCCGCGGCCCGGCCCCGTGGCGCAGCGCCCCCTGCTGGCCGCCTAGGGCCCCGGGAGAGAGGACGCCGGGGGACGGGCCGCCCCGCCCCGCCCCGCCCCGCCCCGCCCCGCGCGAACGGTCGCGGCTTTGTGAGGTGGCTCCGCGGCCCAGGAACGGCGGGGGCGGAGCGTGAGCCGGGGGGCGGGGCTCGGCCGCGCGGACACGCCCCTGGGCCTGGGCCACGCCCTCGGCCGCGCCCCGCCCCCGCTCCGAACTCAGCGCTTTGTACTCGGAGCCGAGCCTCGGGGCGCGGGGCGGGGCAGGGGGCGCGGCCCCGGGGGCGGGGCGCGGCCGCGTGGACACGCCCTGGGACCCGCCCCGCGCGAACGGTCGCGCTTTGTGAGGCGGCTCCCCGGCCGGGAGCGGCGGAGGCGGTTCTGACGCCGCTCGGCCCCGACACGCCTCTGCGGCTGAGCCCCGCCCCTCGGCCCTGCCCGGCTTTGTGAGGAGGCGCGCGGGGGGCGGGGCCCAGCTAGGCAGGCCCCGCCCCCTGGGCCCCGCCCCCGGACGAGACGCTCCCTCCCACTGGACGTCGCTTTGTGAGGCGCCGGGCTCCCAGGGGGTTCCTGCAAGGGGCGGGGCCAGGGCCCGGGACACGCCCCCCGCCCTGGCTCCGCCCCAGCCCTCCCCAGGGGAAAATCAGTTTGAGGAGGGACTGCCTCTGCGCTCGACCTGCATCGGTGGGAAGGCCCCCCCAGCACTCGGTCGCTCCTTAGCTCGTCCCCATCGTCTCCGCCCCCTCCCGCCCCTGCCCTCCTCCTCCATCCTTGGCTGTCTATAACCCCATAAAAAATTCTTGGATCCCTTTATCTGGGCCCTTCTGTTAGCCCTTCCCTTCCCCCCAGCGACGACTAGCCAATGAATCCAACAGAGCAGGGTCAAGGGCCCCTTTTCGTAGACACACGCATCTTCGAAATCCACCCCACCCGCCCCCGTCACTGCTCCTGGGCGTCATTCTTTTCAGGAGGGTCCAAAAACACGTGTGGTGACTTCCCATCTTCTCTAGCTCTCACTCTTCTCTGGACCTCCTCATCGATTCCCCCATCATTCCACTTACTATACTCACCAACAGCGGGACTTTAGCACGGACCCCACATGACACTGTCCCCCTGTCTGTACCCTCCGTGGGCCTCCCCGTATACCACCTTGACTGCGTGCACTAGAGGGAAACAGCTCCCCTCCCCCTAGGCATCCAGTGATTAGACCCCAGAGACCCTGGAAGCTTGAAGGATGACGCTCCATAGAGACCTTGGAAACAGCTCCAGAGCCGTTATAATTAATAACTTAGGCACGCCAGCAGGACAGACATACAGAACATACCCCGGGGTACCCTATGCTCCAAAAAACCCGGTTGGGTTGGTCAAGTAGATGTAGCAAGGGGAGAAGGAAACCAGAGGCTTATGTGGAGGCTCAGACCTCCTATGGCCCAGGGATCCTAACGTCTCCTTTCCCAGGTGGTCTGAGAAACTGGGACTCCAAAGAGAGTCTTCCTGCTTTCTGTCCAGCCTCCAAGACAATGTCTGTGCCCCCTTACTCACTCCTGCTCCTCTGAGAGGAAGGTCCCAAGGCCAAGGATTCTCCCTTCATCTCCTCTGCCAATTCCCTGAGAACGCAGACAGAAACCCCAAAGTAGCTAGAGGGATTTCAGGCCCTGAAGAAGGGCTGAATGCAGAGTGCACAGACACAGAGGGGCCTCTGATCCTCGGCCTCACTGGCAGGACCGGAAAGTGCTGAATTCGGGGGGCTCAGGTGAGGATGATGTGGAGGTAGGCCTTTTCCGGGGCCCAGAGCTGCCAGGTGTCTCGGTGGAATCCGAGCAAGCATCCACGGTGACTGCATCTTCTTCTGGATTCATTGTCTTTGTCCATGGAGGAAAAACAGAGAACAGGGTGATTTGAGGTTTCAGGATCTAGGGTCTCCCTACATTCTGAGTCTGAGACTCCCCCCCGCCCCAGTCCATCAGGTCTCATTTCACTTCCCACACACTACCCCCCAGCTCCAAAGCCAAGATCCTGACCTCTGTTGTCCTGCCTCCTGGTTCTTTCTGAACCAGACAGCCTGGGTTCAAATCCCAGGTCTACCTTGTCACAGTAGTATGACTTCGGTCGGTCAAGTAACTTAACCCCTCTGAGGCTCACTTTTTTCTTTTGCACAATAGGGTGAATGCTACAAAACAAAGGAATTGAAAAGTACCTGGCACCTGGCAAGCACTAACTGTTAAGTGAACAACGCTATCATTATCTCTTCCCCTTCCTGCCCTGTTCTGGGCTTCCACAAAACCTTCCTCAAAAGTCTACCCTCTCCTCCACCATGGAGGCTTCCACCCCAAATGCCAGTCAAGGAGACATGAACTTGCTAAAATTGAAATGTGGTGGGTGAGAGCAGGGTAGGTTCCATCCCAGTCCTGCACCTCCCTAGCTGGACGATCCCAGTAAGGCCCATAATTAGATTCTAGTCTATTTTTGTTTAAATGTCAAAGTGCCTGGGTGGCTCAGTCGGTTGGGTGTCTGACTCTTGATTTTAGCTCAGGTCATAATCCCAGGGTCCTGGGACCCAGCCACGAGTCGGGTTCCCTGCTCAGTGAGGAGTCTGCTTGAGATTCTCTCTCCCTCTCCCTCTGCTCCTCCCCTTGCTCATGCGCGCGCGTGCTCTCTCTCTCTCTCTCTCTCTCAAATCAAAATCAAAAAAATAAAAATAAACATCAACACCACTTCATAGGGGATTATAAAGTGCATATCAGACCCTCAGTATAGTAACACAATACAAGCTGGAGAATGATTAGCTACTTCACTTTTATTTCAGCCAGCAGCACAGCTTCTAGTGCTTCAGCGGGAAGCGAGAATTGAAAGCAGATATTTGCACGCCCATGTTCATAGCAGCACTATTCATAGTAGCCAAAAGGTGGAAACAACCCAAGTGTCCATCAACAGAGGAACAGATAAAATGTGCTATATAAATGCAATGGAATATTATTCAGCCTTCAACAAGAATAAAATTCTGACACCCGCTACAAAGTGAGTGACCCTTGAAGACATTATGCTAAATGAATAAGCCAGACACAAAAGGATGAACGTTATATGACATCATTTCTACCTAAAATGTCCAGAATGCGCAAATCCACAGAGAAAGCAGCATGGTGGGTGCCAGGGACTGGGGTTTGTTACAAATGAGAAGTTAGTGTACCGTGGGGACAGAATTTCACTTTTGCAAGACCAAGTTCTGGAGATGGGATGGTGGTGATGGTTGCACAATGTGAATGTACTTAATACTACTGAACTGGACACTTAGAAATGGTTAAAATGGTCAGTTTTATGTGTTGTATATTTTACCATCATGGGAAAAAAAAAACAACTAGAGAAGATCCCACTAAAATTTACTGTTAAGGAAAGAAGCATAATAGTGTGGATAGCATGCTATCATTTGTGTTAGAAAGGGTAAAGGGTAGGGGGTACTGGGATTGAGCCTCCCCCAATCAGGCTCCCAGCTCAGCAGGGTGTCTGTGGCTCCCTCTGCCCCTCCCCCATTCGTGCTCTCACTTTTATTTATCTTTCACATAAAATCTTTAAAAGGAGGGAGTGAGGCTATACACTCCCTATTTTCACTTTTGCTTGCTTTCACGAGAAGCTCCTAATGGTGGTTACCTGTGTGTGGAGGAGACCAGTGAGCGCACAGGGGTTAGTGACAGGAGGATACTTTACTGGATATACAATTTTGACATATGGATGTATTTCATATTCAAAAAAAAATTTTTTTAAGTAGTCTCCATGCCCAACGTGGGGCTTGAACTCACAACCCTGAGATCAAAAGTCGCAAGCTCTACCACTGAGCAGCTGCGTACACACACACACACACTTTTTAATTAAAAAAAAAAAATATATATATATATATAGTCACAAGGACAAAGATACTTTTTTTAAAATTTTCTCCTGTTTCGACTTGTTTCAATTTCAAATGCCTATTTTTTTTTTTTTAAGGTAAAAGGAAAAGTCACCAGGGTAGTGCCTCGAGCAGCATGTCTTCTCACAGAAAGTTTTAGAATTTGCTCTGTCTGCAGGATTTTGGGGTTTTTCTTAACAGCATTGGATTTGTTCTCGGAAATGAGACCTCAGGGGGCTGAACCGGCCGGTGGGGCCAAGCCCCTTCCTTCCCACATTTGTATGCAGTTTAAATTTGCTCGCTCCTCTCTCCAGAACCCGACTCCTGTCTGCACCTGCCTTGCGCATCCGCCGGGTGCGTGGTCCGCCTCATGTCCCTCCAAGGCTGCTGCCCCCCAAGACTCCCACATGCCTCCCTCCTCTTGACTCTCTCTTTCCCCCCACTTCCCTCCACCCCACCCCACCCCACCCCCGCACCGTAGGTCCAAGCCCCCCAAGTCTTTCCTCCCGCGGCCGCCAGAGGGCGCAGGCGAGCACCCGACTCGGTCCCCTCCCTCTGCTCCGAAGCCTCCACCGCTCCCACCCCACTTGGGGGAAAAATCAAAGTTCTCCGCGGGGGGCTCCCCACGACTCTTCACGCGGCTCCACTCCAGTTGTACTGGACGGACCGTGCCAAGAATGTGTCCCCCGGGCCCGGAGCAATCTTCCATAGCTACCCTCGGCGTGCCCATCTCTGAGATTTCCTGGATCGCCCATCCAAGTGAGAGGCGAGCTTCGCTCTCACTCCTACCCCCGTGGCATCGCCTGTCTCCTCCCCACCCCGGTGCAAATGAGAAAGCTCTGAAGAATTAAAGGCCTCGTGCTGTTCTTGTTCCAATGCCCAGGAAGGGTGTTTTGGATCAGCCCAGTCCTCCCTCCACCCCCACCCCCGTTATGGTGCCCTAGGCACACCAACTCCCCACCCAGGCTCCGTGAAGGCAGTTCCGAAGTGCCCACTTGTCCAAATGGGGGCGTCCGAGGCCACTGAGTGGGGCCACCGTCACCCCAGACCTGTATCCTACTCCGGAGAAGAGCCAGATGAACATTTCCTTGATCCATAGTTTCCATGGCTCATCTACCTCTCACTTGATCTAATAATAATAATAAAGTACAAACACGAAAGCTGCTTCAAGATCCAGCTGTGCCGAGGAATCCCATAGACCTGGGTTCAAATCTCAGCCCCAACAGCGAGTGGTCTGTGGGAGCAAAACCTCTTGCAAAGGGGCAGGGTGCCGGAGCCCCTCCCCACTGAAAGAGAAACGCACAACTTGGACATTTAAGCCGAAATCCCTGAACCTGAACATAAACACAGGCTTTCCTTTACCAGGAGGGGACCAGAGTGTGCATCAGACTGTTACAAAGCACACGACCCCACCGGGTCACCCTGAGGCCCCTGCCACCTTTCCGTAGGGCTGGCCCCACTGAGCGCAGAGGCGGCAGTGACCCTGACAGCCGGCCCGGGGATCCTGCCCCTGGCCACAGGCAGGCCTGGACACAGCTGCCTCCCATCCCCTGGGATTGTTCAGAGCCAACTCTCGGCTCACAAAACAAATCCCTGCTCCATATTCTGGGCTTTTCCCAGGCCCCCGAGGCTCGGAGACATCGGGTCGGGCCCCCCCTGCCGGTGGTCTTCCGGGCAGTCGGACAGTCCGCACACACCTGGGACCAAGAGATGAAATGACTTACCATGGAGATGGCAAACAGAGAGTTGTCAAAGGTCATATCTGAAATAGAGAACGGAAAACCAGAGGCCAGTGTAAGATCCCCGCTCGCTGCCCTCCTGGGGTCCTTCCCCCGCCCCCAGACCCACAGGCCTCAAGTCAACAAGAGGAAGGGCTTGGGATCCATCTCCCAGCCTGCTTCGCTCCCTTCCAGCCCATTCCACAGGGAGAACCGCTCCCACCTGTAAACTGAACAGCATCCTTTTCTGCTCAGAGCCCGCCCCCAGGGGCCCCTCGGTTTCTCCTCTTAACTCCCGCTTTCCAGAGCACCCTCAGCTCCTGCACCGCCCCAGGCGCTCCCCGCGATCGCCGTAAACACCCCCTCGTCCCGGGACCACCCTCCCGCCGGCCAGCGGCTGTTCCCCCACAGCAGTAGGACGGGCTCGTGGGCAAAGACCCCCTGTCTCGGCCGTGGAGGGACGCCGCCCAAACGCGAGCACATAGTAGGTGCTCAATAAAAGCGTGGGCCCGTGAAAGGAGAGCAGAGGATGGACTTCCTCCTCCGCTTGGGGCCCCTTCCCCTGAGCACCGCGCAGCAGCCACTGGCTGCCCGTCGCCCCCTGGTGGAAGCCTTTGGGATGACACGGCCTGGATCACATAGTGGGGCTCCATGCAAGGCCCGGGTCAGGGCGCCCCGGGGGGACAGACACAGACCCTCCCCCCGCCGGTGGAACCGAGGCCCGGCGCTGGAGGCGAGGACTACACACAGCAGGCAGTGATTACTTGTGCTTTTCCCCCGAGAGGGAGGAAGAGTGATAGGGTGCTGGAGGCAGGTAAATCTAGGGAGGGAATCAGGGAAGGCTTCCCGGAGTAGATGACATTTATTTATTTACCTACTTATTTATTTATTTATTTTTAAGATTTTATTTATTTATTCATGACAGACACAGAGAAAGTGGCAGAGACACAGGCAGAGGGAGAAGCAGGCTCCATTCAGGGAGCCCTACATGGGACTCAATCCCAGGTAACCAGGATCACACCCCGGACTGAAGGCAGCGCTAAACCGCTGGGCCACTGGGGCTGCCCTATTTTTTAATTTTTTTTTAAGAGGTTAATTTTTTTTTTTTTATGATAGTCACAGAGAGAGAGAGAGAGAGAGAGAGAGGCAGAGACACAGGCAGAGGGAGAAGCAGGCTCCATGCACCGGGAGCCCGATATGGGACTCGATCCCGGGTCTCCAGGATCAAGCCCTGGGCAAAAGGTAGGCGCCAAACCGCTGGCCACCCAGGGATCCCCCTTTTTTTTTTTTTAAGAGTTTATTTACCCAGTCACAAGAGACACAGAGAAGCAGAGAGGCTTAGGCAGAAGAAGCAGGCTCCCCACGGGGAACCCGAACCCTAACCGGGGACCCTGGGATCACGCCCTGAGCCAGAGGCAGATGCCCAACCGCTGAGCCACCCAGGTGGCCCAGAAGGTGGCCTTTGGACGAGGCCCAAGGGAGGAAGAGTGTTGTAGGCAGTGGTCAGTGAGTGAAAGGCCAGAGGATGAGGCAAAGGGAGAAGGTGAGAGGTGAAACCTGGGGATGGGGGAGGGGAGGCTGTGTTCTTGGCCCTAAGGGAAGTGAGAGGAGGTGGAAGAGGTTCAGCAGCAAGGAGTGAGACCCCAGAGTTTCCAGGGGGTGAGCCTGCCCCGCAGGGACAGGGGTAGGAAAGTACACACCTGTGCTGGCGAAGTTGACCTGGGCCCAGCAGGATTCTCGCTCTCTGCAAAGGGATTCAGGAGAGAGTGACCAGTTGGTCCTCTGGGGCTGGAGGATTCTTCCCAGAAGCCCTGCCTCCCAACTTGGCCTTCGCCACCCACCTTCCTCCCCATCCTCCCTGAGTCCCCTCTTGCGGGAGCCCCACCACCAGGTGAAGTCAGGATTCAATCCCTGGGGCTGCTGCTAGCTCAATGCCACAGGGCAGTGGGGTGTCCCCCTCTCTCAGAGGGGAGAAACTGAGGCTGGGGCCAGTGGGGGGCTTCCTAATGCCCAGGACCCAGGACCACTTCCTAAGGCTACACGTTGGGCACTGCACAGCCCCAGAGGGTGCCACTCACCTCTCCCAACTGTGACTTTCTGTAGTATCACAACCATTTTGGATTAAGGGATGTGAGGAAGACTCAGCAGCCACTTGCTTCCCATGTGACAAAGTGCTGAGCCTCAGTCTGCTTGTCTATAAAATGAGGCTACTTATAATGCCAGCTTCTGCGGGACCCTTGAGCTGCTGTGGGCTCCAGCTGCAGAGTCTCCTAGCACAGGGCGCTGCATACCCTAGGTGCCTTATAATGACACCTGTTCCTCTTATGCAGCCCTCCCACCAGAGACGCTGTTTGGAATGGAGCTCCTACCCAGCCTGGGAAGCGCCCTTCTGTCCCCAGAACCCAGCAGGTCTCAGAGTCCTTTTTTTTTTTTTAAGATTTTATTTATTTATTCATAGAGACAGAGAGAGAGGCAGAGACACAGGCAGAGGGAGAAGCAGGCACCATACAGAGAGCCTCATGTGGGACTCGATCCAGGGTCTCCAGGATCACGCCCTGGGCTGCAGGCGGCGCTAAACGGATGCGCCACCGGTCTCAGAGTCCTTAACACCCATCAGGTGACCACTGCCTACAACATTCTTCCTCCCTCCAGTCTGGGTCTAAAGGCCACCTTCTGGGACACCTGGGTGGCTCAGCAGTTGGGGGTCTGCCTCCGGCTCAGGGCATGATCCTGAGGTCCTGGGTTAGGGTTCAGGTTCCCCGCGGGGAGCCTGCTTCTCCCTCTGCCAGTGTCTCTACTTCTCTGTGTCTCTTGTGAATAGTAAATAAAATATTAAAAAAGAAAAAAACAACCCTCCTGCACCATACCCCCCAACCATTTGGTATTTCTTTCCCCCAAACCACCTCCCGAGGATCTCCAGAGATGATCTCACCTTTTCTTCTGCAAATTTCTTACTTTAACTGGGAACAAAAAATAAATAAGCATTTATTAGATTTTGGTTGTGGTTGCATCCCAGTTGCAAAAAACAAAAACAAGAATCCAAAGGCTCCCTCATATACTTGTGACCCAACCTTGCCTTTACCTCTGGCAAATTTGCCACTCCACAGGAGAGCTCCTGCAAAATCCTCCCCACCCCCCAATTACACGAATAATGTATATTGGTAAAAACTTCAAATAAGCATGTAAAAAGAAAAATTTTTTTGGTTACAGATTTTACTTTTAAGTAATCTCCACACCCAACATGGGACTCGAACTAACAACCCCTAGATCAAGAGCCTCATGCTTTACTGACTGAGCCAGCCAGGCACCCCTATTTTTTTTTTTTTATTTATGATAGGCACACAGTGAGAGAGAGAGAGAGAGGCAGAGACACAGGCAGAGGGAGAAGCAGCCTCCATGCACCGGCAGCCTGACGTGGGATTCGATCCCGGGTCTCCAGGATCGCGCCCTGGGCCAAAGGCAGGCGCCAAACCACTGCGCCACCCAGGGATCCCTATTTTTTTTTTCTTTTAATGTTAGCTTCAGTGGTTGACAGGAGCTGGGAGGAGGAATGGACAGTTAGCGTTTAAAGGGGACAGAGTTTCAGTTGGGGCAGAGGACAAAGTTCTGGAGAGGGATGGTGGAGACAGTTGCATAACAAAGTGGATGTACTTAATATTGCCGAACTGGACACTTAAATAAGTTCAAATCTTAAACTTTATGTTATACATATTTTATAATTTAAAAAATTTTATCACCTACCCCTGCCCCACCACCACCATTGCACTTCTGGAGGATTCTTTGCTGCTAAGTTTTGGAGTAAGACCTCCCCAGCTATGCTTCTAAAAAATGGGTGTGAGGGGATCCCTGGGTTGCTCAGCGGTTTGGCACCTGCCCTCGGCCCAGGGTGTGATCCTGGGGTCCCGGGATCGAGTCCCATTCAGGCTCCCTGCATGGAGCCTGCTTCTCCCTCTGCCTGTGTCTCTGCCTCCCTCTCTCTGTGTCTCTCATGAATAAATAAATAAAATCTTTAAAAAAAATGGGTGTGAAAAAAATAAAAATAAAAAATGGGTGTGAGTAGGGGTTCATTTACACATTCCAGAGGTTGCAAACTGGCAGCCCCTGAGCTGTACTTTCTCTGCCTGCTGTTACCTTTCCTGACCACCACAGCAACGGTCACCAGCCCAGCAAGGAGAAGGACTCCAGCCAGGCTCAAGGAGAGTGCCAGTATCCAAGTGGGCCCTAGAGGAACATGAGAAAAAAAGGCAGGGGGCAAGTTATGGAATTGTGGGGGTGCAGGGTGAAGGTAAGACACCTGTCCTCCAGATTACCTTTGGGGAGCCAGCCCTACACCCCCCCATACTGCTCAACCATTTGACTTGGGTGTAGCCAGACCCTGAGGATCTGGCAAATCTTGTGACTGGGCAACTAGCAGATCTCCCCATCCCCACCCCAGGCATGGTGATTGGTCCAGGGATGGGCATGTGACCAAAGCTGAACTAATGAGAGCTAATTCTGAGACTTGGCCAGACTACTGGGAAGAGAGAGTTACTCGTCTGGCCAGCAAGCTGGTAGGATATACTTCTGGAGCCACTGGGCACAATTTTGACACCAGGAAGAGGAGGGCTTGCCTGAGGATAAGACACAGAAGAAAGCAGTGCTGAGAGCTGGCAAATGATTCCTGACATCTTTGAGCACCTGGATTGAGCACCTGGATCCAGCCATGCCTGAAGCCAGTGCTGCAAACCAACTTTGGTTTGGCAAACCAGCACATTCTCTTTTGTTGCTGAAGCCAGTTTGAGTCAGGTTTCCTGTTACTGGCAGCCCAAGAGTCCTGTGGGCTTCAGCCAGGGGGGTCAGATGACATCCACCCCCCAGCCCTATGGTGGACCCTGAAATCCACACAGAAGTCATGCTTCACAAAAGCATGAAGCTCCAGCTTCAGAGTTTATTTTTCAGCAAGGGATTTGGCTGCCCCTCCCTGGGGAGAGGGGGTCTCTCAGGGGAGACAGGAGGAGGTGACCTGATCCCCACGGAGATGAGGAGCTAAGCCAGCAAGGAGGACAGACACATTCTTGGTATTTTCACACTGTCAGCCGTTGTTCATTCATCCGTCTGGGGCAGGAGGGATGTTGTCCCCTCCCCACTCTGAGACCACAGGCCCAAGGTGAGAGAAGGCGGCCTTTGACAGTGGAGCTCAAAGACACAGACTGTTCTGTCCCCTGAACCCACTGGGGCCTCTGCTGGCAAGAAAGTTCTCTTTGCAGCTGGAAAGTTCTGATGGATGGTGGTGCAGAGGCTCTACCTGGAGACTCCTCCCTCCCTCCTGCTCCTTGATCCCGGAGCCCACACCCAGCCTCCTGTCCTGAAAAGACCACAGGAAAATATCAGCCTTCCAGGGCTCCTTCAACGAAGAACCAAAGTCCTCAGGGCCGCCGACGGCCCTGCACCATCCTCCTTGCCACTCCCTGCCTTCTTCTTCCCCAATTTCTCTCCTTGCCCACTATGCTTCAGCCCTACAGAGGGCCCCCATGTTCCTCAAACACACCAGACATGCGCCAGCCTCAGGGTCTTTGCACAGCCCGCTCCCTCTGCCTGGGAGCCTCTGGTCGCAGATACCCACATGGCTGGCTCCTCATCATTCAGGTCTTTGCTCAAATGTCACTGCCTCAGAGAGGCTTTCCCCGGCCACTCTCCTCTGTATTTGAAATGACATCCTTCACGGGTTGTACTTTGTCCTTGCTGTTTTATTTGTCCCCTGCTGGCACATGGAATATTTATTGGACTCCCTGCTTCTCGTCTGTCTGTGTCCCCTTAGAATGTCAGCTGGGGGACGGGGGATGGGGGACCTTGTTTCACTCATTGCTGAACCCCGGGGCCAAGTACAAAGCCTGGTGCATAGGAGGTGCTCAAAAATGTTACATGGAGGGGAGGGTGCAGCAGGGTGTGGAGGTTTAACGCCTAGATACTGGAGCCCGCAGAACCCCAGCTCTGCTGCCCGCCAGCTGTGTGACTGGGCCAAGTCCCCTAGTGTCTTCTGCCTCAGTTTACTTCTCTGCAAAATGGGGAGACTCACTGAACCCATCGCGTGGGATGACTGTGAGAATTAATCAAGGAAAGGTGAGTCCCACAAAGACTTCCGAGCAGAGGGAAGATCCCGAGCAAAGGCTCGGGGGTGAGCAAAGGAGCCGTGGGCCCCGGGCCGGGGGGAGGGCCTTACCTGGGAAGGACACTTGCAAGGGCTTGCTGAGGTCCGACAGCCGCTCCTGCCTGTGCTCAGCCAGCACTCCATACTGGCAGCAAAATGTGCCCCCTGGAGCCTCCCTGTCACCTCCAGTCACGTTGAAAGTGACCCTAAGCTGGTCTGCGGGTGCCTGCAGGAACTGGACCACCTGCCCTCCACGGTACAGTGTGAAATTTGCCCCCGGGAAGCCCCCAGGGGCGACACAGGCAATGTGGATGGGGTCTTCTTGGCTGCTGGGGTGTGGGGGCACCAGCAGGATGGACGGCGCTGGGATTGCCAAGGAGCCTGGAATGCAGAAGAAGGGAGGCAGGGTGAGCGGTGAGAGCAGAGGCATTTTCTGGCTGTGTGGTCTTGGGCAAGTGGCTGACCCCCTCTGGGCCTTCTTCTTCTTTCTTTCTTTCTTTCTTTCTTTCTTTCTTTCTTTCTTTCTTTCTTTCTTTCTTTCAAGATTTTATTGCTTTATTCATGAGAGGCACAGAGAGACAGGCACAGACACAGGCAGAGGGAGAGGCTCTCTCTCATGCAGGGGGCCTGACTCGGAACTCGATCTCAGGACCCTGAGATCACGACCTGAGCCAAAGGCAGCTGCTCAACCACTGAGCCACTCGGGTGCCCCTTGCTTTTTATTTGCAAGCAGACAATCAACCCTACCCCGTTGCTATGTTGAGGGGTTCAGGTACTAGCCCGTGGGAGGGGGGCAGTGTGTTTGAGTCATTTTATTATAATCGCAGTGGTTATTACATAGCAATGCGATTATTCTCTTACTCCTTCAGTCAACAGCACTCACTATATGCCAGGCCCTGATTTAGGTGCTGGGGACAGAAAGTGGACAAGATAGACAGACAGACATGCCTGCCTCGGGGATCTGATGTTCTCAAGGAGCCAAGAAGCCCCGCGCCGCACATCAGACAGGGTAATGGGAAGGCTGCGTTGGCTGCGGAGGCTACGGAGGGCTTCCCTGAAGAGGTGACCTAGGAAGAGCTAGCGGAGAGCATTCCAGGCAGAAAGGGAAGAGCACGGGCAAATGCTGGGACGGTGGAAGGGGTGTGAGGTCTTCCAGGAGGCCAGGGCGGCTGGAGGGGATGAGCCAAGGAAAGAACAGGAGGAGCAGAGAACAAAGGGGCTCTCCTTTTTCCCTGGCTGTGGTGAGGAATTGGGACGTGGGGGTACAGCTTCCTATAGGAGGTACCAGTGTCTCCCCAGGTGCCCCCAGGCTCCTGAGCAGAGTGTCTCTCAGGTGAGGTCTCCTCCAGACCTTTGCCTCCCCTTCCCCCAAGCAGATCCTTCTGTCGCCCCGGCTCTGGAGGTAGGAGCTATAGAAGCCCAGCAGGGCTGAGTCATGGGGCGTGGGCACCGCTGTCCCCAGCGGGGTGGGATTTCTGACATCCTTGATGTGGGGGTGATGAGGGGCTCACTAAGAGAAAGCCATGCTCCTGGGGCAGAGCCAGAGCTCTGGGGCAAATCTGTCAGGGTCCTGCCTCGTCCAGCACCCGGGGAAGGGCAGCCCTGTGCGGCTTTCTGCCTCCAGAGCAGAGGCCAGGTGGGCAGGGGTGGTGGGAGCGGGGTAGGGGCGGTGCAGGGGGCCTCAGGCTCACCGGCTGCAAAGAGCAGGACAGTCCAGGGCATCTCTCCTCCCGAGTTTGGCCAGGGAAATCTGGCTGAGGCCAGTGAGGCCCACGGCTTACCGCCAACTCCTCCTGTGAGGCCAGAGCAGGGAAAGGAGAACCAGGGCTGATTTGAACGAATGTTTCCTCACTGGCAGGAAGTTGCACACACACACTCAGCTGCCGAAAGGGACTCTCTCCTCTCCCCACCCCTTCCACGGACACACATCAGATCCTGGTATCTCACTGCACTTTGGTGGCCACTGTTCTGCAGAGATGGGAGGAAAGACAAAAGGCTAAGATGGTCAGGTGTGTGTGTGTGTGTATGTGTGTGTGTGTGTGTGTGTATTTTCTCCCTATGAAGAGAATTTCTAGCTGGCATGAGGAAGGGACCGTGGGCTGTTTGGGAAATCCATGCCCAAGACGCAAGCCCCAGCCCAACCAGTTCCAAAGTTGAGACACATGTTGGGTGGAGGTTGGTAGAGCACAGTGGTTAGTGCTTGATCTCTGTCATCTCAGGCAACAACATCTTTCTTTGAAGCCTCACCTTGCTGCTCTGTAGAACGGGGCTAAGAGTTGCAGATATTAGATCCAAAGAACTCATGATACGAAGTGCAATGCCTAGTGTGAGTGCTGCCAGTGTGAGGCCATAGGAGCAGTACCATCCAGGCAAAAGGGAACACTAGCTCCAAAATTGAGGGAATTGCCTCCTGTTTACAGCCCAGAAACTTCCAAAGGTCTGTCTTATCAAGTAAGTTTGCTTTGGTCTCTCAATATTTCTGCCCAAGTCAAGCAGGTCCACCTGGAGGTTTACACCAGGGAAGGATAGAAGTGTATGGTCACTAAACAACAAAAAAGGGCCATCGTGGTGGACTTTTTAATTTGGATACCCAAAGTTCATTCCAACTTCAGGACCTTTGCACATGCTGTCTCTCCTGCCTGGGGCACAATTCTATTAATCTGGTAAAATTCCACTTATCTTTCAGGTTAAATATCACTTCTGTGAAATCTTTCCAGATTCCTCTGGACTTAGAAAATTTTCCTTGCTGAATTATACTACAGAGCCTTGTAATTTCATTAAATTAAAATTAGCCTGCTTATGTTTTCAAAGAATTTATTTCATCTAAGTTGTAGAACTTATCAGTATAAAACACTTCAGACTCCTTTTTTATCCTTTTAATGTCTGTAGGGTCTGTAGCGATGTCCCCTCTTTCAATGGTAACATGTTTTTTTCTCTTTTTTCTTGAATAGTCTTTTCTTTTTTCAAGATTTTATTTATTTAGTCATGAGAGACACAGAGAGAGAGGCAGAGACATAGGTAGAAGGAGAAGCAGTATCCCTGTGGGGAGCCCGATATGGGACTTGATCCCAGGACCCCAGGGTTGATGCCCCGAGCCAAAGGCAGATGCTTAAACTAGAGCCACCCAAGTGCCTCATTTTTTTTCTTGAATAGTCTGCTAGGGGTTAATCAGTTTTCTCAGTTAGTTTTCAGTTTCTCAGTTTTTTCAGTTAATCTTTTCAAAGTATTAGCTTTTGGCTTTGTTATTTTTCTGTATTTCCTGCTTTTGTTTTGTTTTAAAGACTTTATTTATTTATTTATTTATTTATTTATTTATTTATTTATTCATTCATTCATTCATTCATGAGAGACACACAGAGAGAGGCAGAGACATAGGCAGAGAGAGAAGCAGGCGCCACACAGGGAGCCCAATGTGGGACTTGATCCCTGGACTATGGGTTCACGCCCTGAGTGGAAGGCAGACACTCAACTGCTGAGCCACCCAGCCGTCCCTTTATTTTCTGTTTTGTATTTCATTGCTTTTTGTCTTATTTTTATTTATTATTTCTTCATTTACCTTATGTTTCATCGACTCTTCTTAGCTTCTGAAGATGGAAGCTTAGATCATTGATTTTAAAACTTCATCTCAAATATAAGCATTTAAAGCTACATATTTACCTCCAAATACTGCTTTAACAGCATCTCACACATTGCGACCTATATCGTGCTTAAGTTAGAGATATTTTATTTCCCTTGTGAATTTTTTCTATGACTCATACATTATTTAGAAATGTGTCCATTTCCAAACATTTGGGATTTTTTGATAGCTTATTGTTAGTGATTTTTTCAATTTAACTCCATTGTGGTCATAGAATGTACTCTATATAATTTCAGTCCCTTGAAATGTATTGATATTTTGCTTAGTGGCCCAGCACATCTTGATCCACATTCTATATGCACTTGAAATGAAAGTACACTTGCAGTTGCTTGGTATGTAAATATCCATTAAATTAGGTTATGGTGATTTACATAACATGCTTGAGTTTATTGAAATCATCCAGTGCTCTTCTTCCAGGGTGCAGGGTTGGGTCTGTGCTGTCTCCTGTAGTTTCCCAATGCCTACCACAGTGCTTGGCACACAGTGAACCACAACTATTTCTTGATTGTTTGACTTGAAAGCCAAAAAATATTCATTCAGTCTATCTTTGTTGCACGGTCCTGGGTGCATAAGATACAGAATTAAGAGAGGTTCCTGGCTTGTTTATCCTAGCAGCTGTTTACTGAGTGCCACGAAGGCTCAGTACTGTGCTGAGTGCCAAGGACACCATGAGTTAATAAAAAAAACTCCTGCCCTCAGGATGCTCAGAGTTTGGTTAGAGAGTCAGGCAAGCAGACAATGAGAGTCCAGTTGGTGGAGTGTTATAATAGAGGCACTCACCACAGGAAGCTCTTACTCTAGATTTTGCAGGTTCAGGGAGAGCTTCTGGGAGGAGGTGTTATCTAACTCCAAAAACCTGAGAAGGAGGCAAGAGAAGGACCTTCTAGGTAGATGCAAGAATATGTATGAAAGACCTTGGATGAATTTAAGGGCTTCATCCTGGGAGCATTTAGTATGATGCAGGAATCTATAACCTGGAATTTTATTTTATTTTATTTTATTTTTTAAAGATTTTATTTATTTATTCATGAGAGATACACAGAGAGAAAGAGGCAGAGACACAGGCAGAGGGAGAAGCAGGCTCCATGCAGGTAGCCCGATGTGGGACTTGATCTCGGGACTCCAGGATCACGCCCTGGGCCGAAGGCAGGCACTCAACCACTGAGCCATCCAGGGATCCCCTATAACCTGGAGTTTTAAATTCAGAAAAAGACACACTTACCTGTATTAGTCAGCTATCAGATGGCACCCAGAAGAGGTACAACTAGGAGTCATGGGCAGGGTAGAGGGAAATCAGCAAGGGATAGTGACTCCCCAGGGTCAGGAAGCTGTTACCAGCCCAGGCCTAAAGTTGCTAGGGATGTGGCCTGTGTAAAACTGGTCCCCTCTCTTCTCTGGCTACCCCTCTTCCTCCACTCCACTTCCTTTCAGTCCCTGAACCCCTTGAGTGCCTTCTGACCTCTGAGAGCTTGTTCTCTTGTTTGCCTCCTCTCCCTCTACTTCACGTCTGAGATTCAGTGCCACCTCTCCAGAAAGCCTTCCCTGATTCCATCCTGAAATGAGCCTTCGATTTACCACCTATCATTTACTGTTTAGTGCCCATCACCACCTGAAATCACGTTAGTGCTGAGCTTGCTTGGGTATGATCTGGCTCCTACCCTGGGATGGTGGCTCCACCAGGATACAGACAAGGCCTGTTCTATTCTCAGTGTCAGACGCTCAGTAAATATTTGTTGAATACTTGGACAGGGGGCAGTTTTTGTTTAATGGAAGGAAACAAGAATCACTCCATTCAGCCCCCAGATGTCACCCAAAATGGTGGAGCTGGTAACTCCCAGGGCTGGTCCCTGTGCAGAAAGTTCGACAGCCTGAGCAAACACAGACAGAATCAACTTTACTTGAACTCTGGAAAACGGGCAAAGGTTAGTGCCAGCCAAGTGAACACCGAGTCAAAATGAAAGGAAACCTGAACATGGCTGGAAAGCTCTGTGGTGTTTTCCGCTCCCTATTCTCATCTCCTTCCCAGTGTGGTAGAAGTCTTGAAGACAGCAGCCTGTGTCCCCAGGATGGCGAGTATTTGGTTCCTGAGGTTGGCAGGGTGCTGTTTGCTTATTCTACAATGTCTGGGGGCTACCTGCCAGAGTCACTCAAGATGCTGTCTGTTCTCAAAATGCATTCCTGGGGGCACCTGGGGGGCTCAGTCGGTTAAGCATCTGCCTTCAGCTCAGGTCATGATGCCAGGGTCCTAGGATGGAGCCCCGAGTAGGGGAGTCTGCTTCTCCCTCTCCCTCTGCCCACCACCCCCCCAGCTCTCACTCACTCTTTTTCACTATCTCAAACAAATAAATACAATCTTTAAACAAAAACAACAAAAAGAATGCGTTCCTGGCAAACACTAAGGCAAAAGGAAAAAACCCACAGGGACCTGGGGCAAAATATAATCGAGGATGACATTAACTAGTGATTTTACCAGCAAAAATGGGTTTATTCAGGGATAGCAGAGGAATGCAACTGAGGACAAGCAAGATGCAGCAAAAGCAGAGGCAGGTCTGGAAAAGAAAGGAATGCTTTTTGTAGAGGAAAGGGGACATCCGGAAGCTGTTATGAACAAGAAGTCCGTTGGATTAAACTGGGAGTTGAAAATATTTTGATGTTTCATTGGTTGAGTGGTGACGGTCTCTCGTGGCTGCATGGCTGTTACCAGGAGGAGAAAATCTTTCTTCCTCCTGCAGAGCTAGTAGAGTCAGGTAGGAAAGTATAAGTTTGCCAGGTACATCTCTTCCTGTGGGGTCTGTAATTGAGGAGTGGTAGGGTGTGAGAATGCCCCCCATTTGTCCTTCTGATTCCATTCTCTTTTCTTAAAGTTTTATTTATTCATGAGAGACATATAGAGAGAGAGGCAGACATGGGCAGAGGGAGAACCAGGCTCCCGCAGGGAGCCCAATGCAGGACTTGATCCCAGGACTCCAGGATCATGATCTGAGCTGAAGGCAAACAATCACCCAGCCACCCAGGTGCCTCTCCTGATTCCATTCTTTTTTTAAATTTTTATTTATTTATTCATGAGAGAGCGAGAGAGAAGCAGGGTCCATGCAGGGAGCCCTGTGTGGGACTCAATCCCAGGACCCCAGGATCATGCCCTGAGCCAAAGGCAAATGCTCAACCGCTGAGCTACCCAGGCGTCCCTGATTAGGGGTATTCAGAAGTGCCAATATATACTGGGGGATTTAGAAAGCAATGTGCAGGCCCAGGGCAGGACAAATGCTCAGGAAAGACCTGAGAAGACCCTAAGCTTTCGTCTCAGGCTTCTCTCTAGGCTCTGTGAGAACAGGAAGTGAAGACTATGGCAAAATTGTAAATGCCCCAGAAAAACATTGAGGGAGTGCCCCAGAATACATCTGGGGGAAGTTTTTTGTCTCTTTTTTCTTTCTTCGGCTTGCTCTCTATAATATAAAAATAATTCTTACAACTCAACAACAAAAAGAGAACCAAATTTCAAAATGAGCAAAAGACTTGACATTTCTCAAAACAAAACAAAACGATCTACAAACGGCCAACAAGCACCTGAAAAGACACTCAACATCTTTAGGGAAGTGCAAATCAAAACCACAATGAGATACCACTTCACACCCATTAGGATGGCTATAATAGCAACAAAACTGAAAATAGCACACGTGGATGAGGATTTGGATAAATTGGAGCTCTCATACATGGTTGGTGGGAATACAAAATGGTGTGGCCACTGTGGAAAACAATCTGGCAGTTCCTCAAAAAGTTAAACACAGAATTACCATATGACCCAGCAATTCCACTCATAGGTGTATACCCTAAAGAACTGAAAGTAGATTCTGAAACACACGTTCATAGGAGCACTATTCACAATGTCCAAAAGATGGAAGTGACCCCAATGTCCACCAGTGGTCAAATGGATAAACTGTGGTTTATCCAAGCCATGGCATGTTATTCAGCCATTAAAATAAATTAAATGCTCATTCATGCTATTAAGATGAACCTTTAATACATTATGCTAAGTGAAAGATGCCAGACACAAATGGTCACATATTTCATTTATATGAAACACCCAGAATTGACAAATCCATAGACGCAGATTGGTAGTAGACAGAAACTAAGGTGAGGAAGGGAATGAGGAATAACTGCTGAATGGGGACCAGGTTTATTTTAGGGCTGATGGAATGTTTTGAAAATAGAAGTGGTGGGGGGATCCCTGGGTGGCGCAGTGGTTTGGCGCCTGCCTTTGGCCCAGGGCGCGATCCTAGAGACCCGGGATCGAGTCCCACATCGGGCTCCCGGTGCATGGAGCCTGCTTCTCTCTCCCTCTCTGTGACTATCATAAATAAAAATAAAAAAAATAAAAATAAAGAAAATAGAAGTGGTGGTTGCACAACATTGTAAATGTTAATACATGCCACTGAATTGTTCACTTGAAAATGGTTAATTTTATGTAATGTGAATTTCACCTTAAAAACAAAAACAAAAAAACCAAGGGATTCCTGGGTGGCTCAGCGGTTTAGCGCCTGCCTTCTGTCCAGGGCGTGATCCTGGAGACCTGGGATCGAGTCCCACATCAGGCTCCCTGCTCTGCTTGTGTCTCTGCCTCTCTCTCTGTGTCTCGCATGAATAAATAAAATCTTAAAAAAAAATCCATTAAACAGGCCACCTGGGTGGCTCAGTCTGTTGGGCCTCTGTCTTCGGCTCAGGTCATGATCTGCGGGTCCAGGGATCTATCCCCTCATTGGGTTCCCTGCTCAGGGAGGAGCCTTCTTCTCCCTCTCTTTCCTCTTTCTGTCCCTCCCCCTCCCGTTTGTGCTTTCTCTCTCTCAAATAAATAAAATCTTTAAAAATTTATTTTTTTATTATTTTTTATTTTTTTAAATATTTATTTATGAGACACACACACAGAGAGAGGCAGAGACACACAGGCAGAGGGAGAAGCAGGCTCCACGAAGTGAGCCCAATGCAGGACTCCATCCCAGGACTGCAGGATCATGTCCAGGACTGAAGGCAGGCGCCCAACTGCTGAGCCACCCAGGGATCCCTAATTTTTTTTTTTAATTTAAAAACCCATTAAAAAATATCAGGGGGTGCCTGGGTGGCTGAGTCAGTAGAGCACAGGGACTCATGATCCCAGGGTCATGAGATCAAGCCCCACGTTGGGTGTGGAGCCTACTTAAAATTAAAAAAAATATATATACGTAATATATATATTCGTATTTATGGGGTATCTGGGTGGCTCAGTTAGTTGAGCGTGGGTACTCTTGGTTTCAGTACGGCTCATGACCTCAGGGTCATGGGACTGAGCCCTGCCTTGGGCTCCCTGCTCAGTAAGTCTGCCAGAGATCCTTTCCATCTCCTCTCCTCCCCTCTGCTCCCTCCCCCACCCTCACCCCAGCTGGCTCACAGGCTCTCTCTAAAATAAATAAAGAAAATCTTTGGGATCCCTGGGTGGCACAGTGGTTTGGCGCCTGCCTTTGGCCCAGGGCACGATCCTGGAGACCCGGGATTGAGTCCCACGTCGGGCTCCCGGTGCATGGAGCCTGCTTCTCCCTCTGCCTGTGTCTCTGCCTCTCTCTCTCTCTCTCTGTGTGACTATCATAAATAAATAAAAATTTAAAAAAAGAAAATCTTTAATATATATATTTATATATATATATATTTATATATTTTTAAATAAAAAATAAAGACTCTCCCATTCTCACTTCAAAATGTCCAAGCAGCAAGTCTGAACGACAAAAACTTTGGAAGTGAAAAGGAGCCCTACCAATGACTGCACATAAACTTTGACATAGCAAGGTGGTGTGACTTCCCCAAGTTCTCCCACAGCAGGAAAGAGCTGACAGCCACCAGCTGTAATTGAAGACTAATTGTTTGTCACCAAGTGCCAACCACTCCAGGGCCTATCTTTTAAAGACTCGACATTTCCATCTAAACATTTTTTTTAAATTTTTTATTTATTTATTATAGTCACAGAGAGAGAGAGGCAGAGACACAGGCAGAGGGAGAAGCAGGCTCCATGCACCGGAAGCCCGATGTGGGATTCGATCCCAGGTCTCCAGGATCGCGCCCTGGGCCAAGAGCAGGCGCCAAACCGCTGCGCCACCCAGGGATCCCCTTTTTTTTTTTTTTTTTTTGGGATCCCCATTTTTTTTCTTATGTTTAGTCAGAACCACCGACCAGAGTCCCTTTCTCCAGTGACTTCTTTGCTTATGTGCCAGCTTCCTAGAGGGCGGTCACCACCAAATACTCCAAGCCAGGCTGAGGGAGTGGTGGGCTGCCCAATTGTGGGCGATCAGCCTGAAAAAACAGATCATATGTACTGAGAGCATATAATGTGCCAAGCGCTGAACAACATTATCTTAATCTTTACAACAGCCCAGTGAGGTAGGACAAGTATCACCCCATCTTACAGATGAGAATACTGAGGCCCTGCCGGGTGATTTCAAGCCAAGGATCGAGGGTGGCTTAAACTAGGGTTTGTGGCTCCTAGCCCCACACTCTCCTCTCTCTTTTTTTTTAACATTCTAAAATATTATTTACTTGATAGGCGTCTGGGTGGCTCAGGTCCTGATCCCGGGGTCCTGGGATCAAGTTCCGCATCAGGCTCCCTGCGGGGAGCCTGCCTCTGTGTGTCCCTCATGAATATATAGTCTTTTTAAAAAAATTTACTTGACACAGAGAGCGAGCACAAGCAGGCGAGAGGGAGACACAGGCTCCCAGGGGCGGAGCAGGGATCCTGAGTGGGGCTCCATCCCAGGGCCCCAGGACCATGACCTGAGCCGAAGCCACATGCTTAACCCACAAACATTCCGGCGCCCCCCACCCCCTTCTTGAAGATCTTCTCCGACTCTTAAACACCTGTCATTTTTCCTACCCTGAGTCGTATCAATTACTCTCTTTACCTGCCGCCGCCCCCTCCCCAGGTTTGGGACCCCTGGTGCAGGGTGGGCTATGCCCCTCTACAGACTCTACGCTAGGAAAACTGAGCGCCACGGGCAAGGCTTCGTCTGTTCCCACCGCCGCCCTCGTGGGTCGTCGGTCCATAGTAACTACAGACGAGGAAACGGACAAAGGAATGGTTCTCAGGAGCAAAGGGAATGAAGGGTCAGGCGGCGCATCTGAAGCCACGCCTAAGAACCGCGAAGCCCCCAAGAAAACGAAAAGGACTCCCTCCCCCTCCCCTCGAATCTTTATACATGAGCCCTACGGGTCGCGGGGAGGCCCACTCCTCCCAGACTAGATGGTTCAATGGTCGTCGCGCGCGGCGTACTCTGGGAAAACCGCAGGGAGGGGCCTCAGAAGGCCCCGGCCCGCCTCCGATTTAGCTGTCTTAACTTTTGCCTGGAAAACATGTACCATCTTAGTACTTATTTTTTTCCTTATTCCGTCACCATCTGTTGAGACTAGAGCTCGAGGCTACTCATAAAAATGTCTCCGGGAGGTCGAGAGTCTTAAGGCACGGCAGGCATTCATACGGGCAGCTAAGCACTCAGGGGGCCCTTCACTTCTCTCTCCGTTCGCTTCATAGCGCCGGCACAAGCGGCTGCCAATGAGCTCCGATGAGTAGCACAAGGGGCAGGGCCAGCCCTTAAAGGAACCGCGACCTCTTAGCAGACCGGAGGGTGACCCAGACGATGGCGGCCGGAGCGGCCCTAGCCTTGGCACTGTGGCTACTACTGCCGCCAATGGGGGTTGAGGGGGCAGGTCCCCCCCCGATCCAGGACGGCGAGTTCACGTTCCTGTTGCCCGCGGGGAGGAAGCAGTGTTTCTATCAGTCTGCGCCGGCCAATGCAAGCCTCGAGACCGAGTACCAGGTAGAAAGTCCCGAGTCGGGGAGCAGGCGAGCGAGCGGAGCCAGGGCGAGAGGGCGTGGCCAAGCCCCTGAAGCGAGGCATGGATTAAAGAGGGAGGGGGAGGAGCCCGTGCGTCAGAGTGCGGGGGCGGAGCTAGGGCGAGCGCGCTGGAACCTGTGGGGACGGCGTGGGAGCGGAGGGGGTGGGAATAATGGCAGGAGGCGGGGTTAGCCGGGCAGCCGGAGGGGGCGGGGCCATCGGCTGCAGGAGGCACCCCTCACGGGGCGGGAACCTCGCGAGTGGGCGTGGCCAAAGGAGGGAGCTGGTGGGCGTGGCCAAGAGCGCCACCAGAAAGGGCGTGGTGGTCCACGGGAGGATTTCCGGGGGATTGGGTTATGGAGAGCAGGGCCCTGTCCCCTCACTTGGGGTGTAAACGTCGATCAAGGACCTGAGATGGGGGCGTGGCCAGATGAAAACGCCAAACCCAAAGCTGTCCTATCAGTGAAGACTGAGCCAAGGCAAGGGGCGCGGTCTGAGGGACAGGTGGGGCAGGCCCAGGTTGAGGGTGTAGGTGTCAGCGCCCTGGTAGGCCCCTGCTGGTCCCCCATGGGTCTGTGCGGGTTGGCTGGGCCCTGGCTTCCCCTGGCAGGTGCCCTTGGCCTCCCCCTAGCCCTCCCCCCTCTTACCTGTCCGCCCAGGTGATCGGAGGTGCTGGACTGGACGTGGATTTCACCCTGGAGAGCCCTCAGGGCGTGCTGCTGGTCAGCGAGTCCCGCAAGGCAGATGGGGTGCACACGTGAGTTCAGTCCCGCTGTCCGCCTGGGTTCAGTTTCAGCTCTGGCCTTCCCTGGTGGCCTCAGGTTACCACCTCCTGTGCCTCTCAGAGTCTGGGTCATGTGCATCTGTGTGTCTTTCTCCCAGGGTGGAGCCCACGGAGGCTGGGGACTACAAGCTGTGCTTTGACAACTCCTTCAGCACAATCTCCGATAAGCTGGTGTTCTTCGAACTCATTTTTGACAGCCTGCAGGATGACGAGGAGGTCGAGGGCTGGGCAGAGGCTGTGGAGCCTGAGGAGATGCTGGATGTGAAGATGGAGGACATCAAGGTGTGCCCGGGCTGGCTGGGGCCCCGAGTCCTGGAGCTCTGGCTTTGGGCAGCAGTGCTCTCCATTCTTCCACCTTGGCTGGAGTCCCCAGCCTCCCTGGTGCCCACCCCACAATTAGAATAGCTAGCCGCTCACACTTAAAATGATAGCACATTTCTAGGTGCAGGAATTTTTTTTTTTTAAGATTTATTCATGAGACACAGAGAGAGGCAGAGACATAGGCAGAGGGAGAAGCAGGCTCCCTGATCCCAAGACCCCAGGATCACGTCCTGAGCCCAAGGCAGACGCTCAACCAGAGCCACCTCGGCACCCCTAGGTGTAAGAATTTCAAGGGCTTAAATAACTCATGAAATCCTCATATGATGGAGGTAGTGTGCTCCCGATGCCCCATTTTAACGGAGGCACAGGATGGCTAAGTAACTCTCCTAAGGCCACACAGCTAGCAACTGGCAGAGCCAATATTTGAACCCAGGCAGTCTGGCTTTAGCAGCTGTGCTGTTAACCACTGGTAAGTACAGTCTTTATCCTTAGTTAGGCATTCAGTTCTCATTGCAATTTTGAGGAGACTGGGGCCCACAGAGGTTAATTAACTTGCTCAAGGTCACACAGCACAAAGAGGATGTAGAACTCAGGTGGCCTGGCCACTGAGCCTGCACTCTCAGCTCTCTCCTCCACAAACATAGGCTCACCCTATCCACTACCCCTCTCCAGTTTTATTGGCCTCTGCTCCCTGAAGGGCGAAGGGTAGCAGAGGCCTGAGCCCTTTCTCTCCCCTCCACAGGAGTCCATCGAGACCATGAAGACCCGGCTGGAGCGTAGCATCCAGATGCTGACGCTATTGCGGGCCTTCGAGGCACGTGACCGCAACCTGCAGGAGGGCAACCTGGAGCGGGTCAACTTCTGGTCTGCTGTGAACGTGGCCGTGCTGCTGCTGGTGGCTGTGCTCCAGGTGTGCACGCTCAAGCGCTTCTTCCAGGACAAGCGCCCTGTGCCCACGTAGCCCCCGAAGGGAGAACAGGGAAAGAAGGGCAGCAGGGCCCGTGTGTGTGTGTGATTTGGGGGTCCCTTCTCCAGCTTAGCTTCCTACGGGATGGGAGGTCATAGAGGCATGGCCTGAGGGATGACCCTCGGGGGTGTCTCCTCCCTGCCAGGGGCCAGGTCAGCAATAATTGCTGGCTTGGCAGTTTGGGCCTGGGCCCTCTGGAGGGACAGCTGGGGGGCTGCACCTACATTCCTGGCAACTGTGCATGGAAGGGGGGGCACTGCAGCATGTGAGCACAAGCCCTGGATTCTCTGGCCCCTTTCCGTGTCCCCTACTGTAAATGCGTGTGCCTTAGCTCAAGCCCCAGCCTGCACTGGCTGGCCCTGGTGTGGGATGGGGCCCAGGAAGCAAACTCTCCCTTCCCTCCCTGACTGGCCTTCTGAGCCAGGTGATGGTTCGAGGGGGGCTTGCCGCTTGTGGAACCTCTGCCTTCCTTGGTCTCCTTGTTGCCCCACCAGAGGCCTGCTGCTGCTGTTGGGAGGGTAGCTCCCAGGCTGGGGGGTGGGGGGACTGCTTCCACCAGGGGCTGGGAAGGAGACACGGCTGCAGTGTTCTTGCCAGGACAGTCACTTTATTGAGAGGAAGGAGCCCAGCCCCTCGGCCCAGCGCGGGGTGGGCTCGGTGTGAGGTCTGGTAACAGAACTCTAGGAGAGGGGACTGCGAGACCACCCGCCCCTCCTGCTGTCTCTGTAGAGGCCCCCGGCAGGGCTGAGGGGTGGCCCAGCCAAAACTTGTGCCGGAGCCTCACGGAACAAAGGGTGGTCTGGCCCTGGGCACTGGAGTCAATAAATTATGGTCAGAAAATCACAGAGCCTGGTGACTGGGGCTCAGGGACACCAGCCGGGACAGACCTGCCCCCCAAAGGGGGCAAACCAGGCAGGCGGGAGGGGTCTCCCACGAAGCTCAGAAGAAAGGTCGGGCGGGAGCCGATGGAGGTGGTCGCCTGGGCACAAGAGAAAAATCAGAAAGCAAAGTTTAACTGTGACCCGGGCTGGGCCAGAAGGCCTTGGACCTGTGGGGAAGGGGGGGTCGGGGAGGAAATCCTTGGAACTGCAGTGGTGGGGAGGGGGCCCCTGACCACTGTAGTTTGGGGTGGAGGGCTGGGATCCCCTCTCCCTTTTGTGATTCTGCTGCCTACCCCAGGCCTGTGTCTTGGCCTCCACACTAGCACTGAGTCAGGGGCTGCAGCCAGGCCTGGAAGTGTTAGTATATGTGTGTGGGGGGAGTGACCCCAACATCTGTCCCCACTCCTGAGGTGTTAAGGAAAGCAAGAGATTTTCCCTCTAGAGCATGGTTGCCTCTGGAAGAAGCAGACTCCTTCCCCAAGAGCAGAGCCCAGGAGCTTGGTGCAAGAGAGCCCATGGTGGGAGGTAAGGCGGCGTCCTTGTCAGAGGCCTGCTGGGGGAGGGTGAGCAGTCCACATCCTCAGCCTGAACGCCAATACAAAAGGCCCACACGGCAGCCACCAGAAGCTTCTTCCCTTTATTTTAGTTTATTAATAGGATACAGAGTGCAGGCACTTACAGTGGTCAAACCGAGCGAGGAGCGAGCAAGGTCTGCTCAGTGATGGACCACCTGGGGCCCACCCCATGTGGGGAGGCCTGGGTGGGAACCAGGAGCCCCTCAAAGCCTCCCCACTCACTCAGCCCTAAGCCCAAGCCGCCCTGGGGACCTAGAAGGAGGAGGGGGCCCAGGAAGGAGAGAGCGAGTCTGGCAGGATGGAGGCTTCCGGACCCGGCGAAGGCACCTCCGGCAGCCGAGGCTCGGCCGTGCAGTTAATACGGCCAAGGAAGGAATATTTACAACTCGCAGGGCGGGCAGCGCTGGGCCTGCTGGCCTGGCTCGAGGCCTGGAGCTCCCGCTGCTGAGATATGGACATGCTCCTTGGGCCCCAGGAAGGACCGGGGTGAGGGGCGGGTTTACAGGCACTCTTGATGCCCCAGTTTCCAGAAGATCTGGTCATCTCAGGCTTTGCAGGCCAGAGAAGCCCTGGGTGAGTCCCCCGCCCCAGCCTGAATCCTTATTCCAGAAGGCGCCCAGAGTGCATTCCCTCCTCTTGTACCCTGTGGCTCCATCCCACAAAGTGCAACACCCAGGCTTCCCCGCTGCCCCAGGGCGGCTCCCCTCCTGCCCCAGGGCTCCAGGGCCCTTTCGGTCACTGCTGTGTCCAGCTGGGGATGGGGGCCAAGGTTAAGGAAGAGTCAAGGGCTGCCCACAGGGAGCCTGGTCCTGGCGTGTGGATGACAGAGGCCGGGGGCAGCGGAGGGGCCCAGACCACCGAAGCTCCTGCAGGCGGGTGTGCGAAGACCCCCTGAGATGTTGCCCCCCCCACCCCCCTGCGGCCTAGTCGAGCAGGGAAGGCTCGGCTGGCCTGATAATGGTGGGCCGGCTGGGCGCAGCAGGGGGTCTTCTGCTGCAAAGAGAATAAAGACAGACGGGGAAGGGGAGGGGGGAGATGGCAGTGAGGCCCCAAGTAGGACGAGGGAGGGGACCCAGGCCCCACCACCCCCACCCCCTCTTGCTGCCCAATGCCCAATGCCTGAGGGCTCTGAAGGCCGCCAGAGTGCAGTGAAGGAGTTTGCTGTATGACTCTGGGTGAGTCCCCACCCACCCTGGACCTTAGGTTTCTCGTGGGAGAAGTACAGAGACAGAGCCAGGCCTGAGAGGGCTCATAAGTGTGTCCTCATTAAGGAAACAAAGGTCAAAACCAGGAGAAGGGGCCCCGTGTGAGGAGTCCCGATCTGCATCGTGGGCCACCTACTCAGGCAGGGGACAGGCCTGGGAGCCCTGGGGTCACCCTGACTCTCCACCACTCTGTGACTTTGAACAAGTCACTTGGCCTCTCTGGGCCTTAGTTTTCATACTAGCCAAATGGGGATGGGGACTCCATTCCCTGCAGCGCGCAAGGACAGCTCATCGCAGGGTGTCTGATCGAGGACAGGCCCTAGGGCTCAGGCTGCTGGCTTTAGTGGCAGGCAGTGTGTGTGTCTGTGGGGGGGCGCCAGCCTTACCTGGGCACTCCGGGAGGGATGCTGGGGGGAATCCGAGCTGGCCGAGATGGGATCTGAGGCGGGGCCGAGAAGGGGTCATTGTTGGCAAACATGCTCTGGGGTCCAGGCCTGGACGGGATGGGGGGTGCAGCGAAGGAGGCTGTTGGCCCCACTGGCACGGGAATCAGAGGGGGCCCCGGGGTCGGGCCTCTCACGGCTGGGGGCCGGCCTGGGGGATGCACGCTGGACAAGGGTCGGCGCTGTGGAGTGGGGCTGTGGAGGAAAGAGGGGGTGTGAGCTGCGGAAGAGGGTGGAGAGCCCCAGCTGTGTGGCTGTGGAAACCCCAGGGGGCCAAAGTGTGGTGCAGGCTGGCACCCGCTACTGCCCAGGGGGCGCAGGTGAGTGCCTGCTCCTGGGCCCCTCCATCCACCCCACCACCACCTGCCCCCACCTAAACCTTGAGCCAGGGCCTACCTGTACCTCTCCTCAGCCACCAGGGGCTCCTGCTTCCCTGTGACCCCACTCAGGGCCACTTCCCTCTCACCAGCCCTGCTGCAGCCTGCCCACTTCCCCACCTCCTCCAATCTACTCTCAGCCAAAGATCCTCGCAGAACCCAGCCCGGACTCCAAAATCAAGACCAGTGCCTCCAGAGGTTGCGGGGCCTGCAAGTCCCTGCCCTGGGCACCCCACGGGTTACCCCTGGGCCTGAACACCCACTGTTCCCCAGGCTGGATGCTGTGCCTTCTCCCTAAGTAACTCCATGGCTACTTGAAGCCTCGGCAGGGCTGGCACCTTCTAGGAGATTCCCCTGGCTGACCCTCTCTCCTCCCAACACCTGCCCTGTCACTGGTTAGCTGTCCGTCTGATGCTCTGCATTGCCCATGCCAGTGGCTCATTTCCATCAAAGAGGTTGGGGGGGAGGAGGACGGGGACATGCCAGTCATGCCCTCCAGCTGCTCCTGCAGATCCTCCTCCCCAACCTGCCATCCTCATCTGTGCTCTGTACTCCAGGAGGATGACCCCATGGCCACCACGGCCTGGGCCTCTCACCCTCTCTGGCTTCCACGGGGGCCTAACCAATGGAAAGCACCAGAGGACAGGTGGGCCTTTCACGTAACCCTTCTCTCCTTACTGTTTCAGGCCTAGGCAGGGTAGCAGGCCCCACAGCCACCCACCCCTGGGCTGTACACTGACAGGACACACAGGGATACCCGGGAACACACAGGAGTCTCTCAGACCTGTGGCTGGTAGTGCTCTGGAGCCAGGTATCATCGACGGGTGGGGGCACGGGTGTGGACACTGTACTGGTGCTAATGTCTCCGATGATGTTGAGAGCCTCCTTAAGTGCATGGTACATGCGCAGCATGTCGTCCCGCCGCTGGGCCTGGTCAGCTGACTCCTCCATAAGGCTGCTCTGGTCCGCTGATGAGTACAGGTAGGCCAGGAGCTCATGGTGGATGAAGGCTTTCGTCTGGGGGCAAAGGGGCAGAGAGGTCAGGGCTTCCTGCCACACCTGCCGTTATGACTGGCTGGAAAACCACCTGCCACACTTGGTGGGCTTTCTTGTCTGTAACTTTGCTCTACGATGTGTCAGATGATAGATGTTTGAAATGCAGGTGAGCTTTCTACATCCCCCCTCCGCCAAGCCTCTGGTTGGGGGGCCTTTCAAGTGTCCTTCCGGCCTGTTTCACGAGATGCTTACTAAACTTCCTCCTAGAATCCTGCCTCTCTTACTGGTGTCTTTCCACCCCTTTATTATCTTCAAGCTGGCTTTTGTTTAAAAAGTACTAGTTTTGCTAATTTTATACTTTGTTCCTTCCTAAAACCTCCTACAGGATACAGTTTTTGTTACTTTTTATTGAGTGTCTAGGTACCCATTCATGTGGACGTGAGCTTCTCCACATAGGAACAAGTTTTCCTATTCTTTTTCAGTGTTTCACACCTTTATATGATTCTTCTGATTGAACTACATTGGCTAGTAACTCGACAGGAAAGTTTGCT